CAGGCCAGTTGCCCTGCGGAGCGAGTGCCCAGGTGCTGGCACAGCTCGTACACCAAGGTCAGGTTGAAAGCAGCAGTGCAGTAGCAGGATCCAAAGCATAAACGCGTTGATCTAGCGCCTGCCAAGCGAAGTGCAGCTTTTTCCCTCTGTGCTCTTCCACGCTCCTTGGCTGCCCTCAAGCCCTGTCTGTGAGATAGTGGCAGAGACGGGGTGGGCTGGAGCGGGCTGGTTTGGCTGTGCTCCCTCTCGTCCTCTCTGCTGTGGCTTCTGCTGGTCTGAACTGGCGGTACGTCTTCTGAGCTTTGTGGGGCCTAGATTTAAGCCTTCTCTGAAGGAGGCTCTTAACAGCAGCTGCTCAGCTCAGCAGCATCTTGTGCGCTAGGGAGCTCATCCAGCTGTACCCCGAGAGCTGAGACTGTTGCTGAACTCGGATATCTCCTGCAGATTTACACTGGCTTGAAGGATTTTTGTTTTGCCAGATAAACCAGCCCCAGTTTGCATAGATTTTGCCAGCTGAAATTTATTCTAGAAGATTCATGATAACCTGAAGTGGCAAAACGAAAGTTTCCGGGCAGGTAACGTTTGACCTGCTCACCAGTCATTTTGCTTGGCAGAAGATATATATTTTACTGGAATAAAAAAGCAGTCCTGTTCCTCAGCGCTTAGGCTGTGAGAGCTTCCCGGGCAGCTGTTCAGCAGGGTGGGGTTTTTGGGAGGCTGAGGTACAGACTCAGTTTCAGGCAGTCTGGGCCCCGTTGCCAGCTTTGCCAGTGGCTCTCCGTGATGGCGTAGCTGCTTATCAGAGATAACAGATGGGGAGACTGGGAACCTCCTGACCCTTTGGTCGATCTAAATCAGTGCAACTTGTTCAGCACGCTCAGCTGACTGCATAGACTTCTTCGGAGCAGAGGCTGGCGATGAGGTCAGGGTACTAGGCCTGACCTTGATATTTTTCTTAAAACTAAAGAAAAAAACCCCGCGTGAGGAGATGCCACTCGTGGGGCCCTGTGGTGGCTCAGGGTCTTGGCTGCAGGGCTGGGACGTGTTGGTGTAACTGGTACCAGCAGAGAAGAGGCTGGAGAGCGTTTGCAAGGGGCTGGGGTGGTTTTAACAGGGCCAGAGGGCAGGGACGGGGTCGGTGGCCATCCCCAGCAGCACCGGGGCCACACTCTGACCCTGGATCTGCCTGCCTGCGGTGCTCGTACTGGGCCAAGCTGGGTTTCAGGAGGGAAGCGGGGCCTCTCTGTGGTTTTTGGCTCTCTGAGGTGTTTCGTTTCAGCCTAGGGGAAGCGCCTGGCGTGTTGGCAGGGCTGCTCCCCCTCTGCAGTCGTCCCACCCCCCCGCGGTGTGAGTGGAAAGCAGAGCTGTGCCCAGGCCCTACCTGTGTGCTGCGGCAGGGCAGGGCAGGTAGCCGTGGGCTGTGTCGGGCCGGAGAGCTCTGCATCGCTTCTGCCACTTCCCAGCAAGTGCTGGATATATATGCAGGAATTTATGACTGTCTAAACAGCTTTAGATGATAAGGAGAAAAAAAAAAAAAAAAAAAGAAAACCACCATATTCTGGGTTGGTGAGTTAAATAAATATTCCGGAGTGCACATGCATGAACCAGCAAAGAAATGAACACGGGAAGCTCAGTATTAAGGACTGTGACTTGTATTTAACTTGGATTAACTATTTATTAACTTTTAGTTAATACCAGTGGTGTGCTGTCTCCCTCCCGCTGCCGTACAGCTCTGCAGATGCTTTCTGCAGCTCAAGGCAGGGTTGAACTCAGCTGAAGGGCAGGTCAGCGAGCTGAGGAAAGGGGAGAAAACAGGCTGGGGGGGCAGACGTGGGACTCAGCAGAGGAAGAAGGTGTGGAGCAGCTGAGGTAGGACGCTGCTTCGTTTCTGGAGGGCAGTGATCAACACATAGGAACAGCCAGGTCAAGACACGGTGTGCTGAAAACAAAGTATGAGTGGAATCAGGCAGAGGCTTGATGGAACTGGTGAAATAAGGTGCTGGTGAGACAAAAAGGCCAAAGCTGTGTGTCAGAAAGGCACTGTGGAAATGCAGCAGCTGCTGCTGGAGATTCCTGTTTGCCTTTTCAGCTGGCAGGACCTTCCTGGCCTGTCTCCTCCTGTGTTACCTACTTTGTATGTGCCTGTTTTCCTTCTCCAAAGCAGCATTCCTGCGCTGTGCTTTGCCTCTGCGTATCCAGTGTGTCTGCTGCCTGGCAAAGGCAAACCTGACCTTGACACAAAACGTGTGGTTCTTTCTCCTCTTTTAGCAGCGTCGCCCGTAAGCTGAAAAACTGGCCAGCACAATGGGAAAAAAACAGAACAAGAAGAAAGTGGAAGAGGTCTTAGAGGAAGAGGAGGAGGAGTATGTGGTGGAGAAGGTCCTGGATCGGCGAGTGGTGAAGGGCAAAGTGGAATATCTGCTGAAGTGGAAAGGCTTCTCAGAGTAAGTGCCTCCCTGCCTGCTGCTGCGGTGCCGAAGCCTCCGGGCAGGTGGCTCAGTCTCCCCACACCTCTCCTCATCTGTACAATGGAGCTAAAGGCCAAGGGCAGCTGTAATGATAGAAATGGTGGTTCTAAATGCCTCGAGCTCTAATCAGGGTGAGGAGAGCGCAGCCTCGGTGAGGAAGTCCCGTTTCTGCCTTGCAAACAGGCTGTGCGGTGCCCCGGTGGGGCTTCTCCCCTGCTGCCCTAAACCTAGTCTGAAACAAGCAGCCAGATAAAACAAATTGCCTCTCCCCCGAGGAGCAAAATAACTGCCCTGCCCTCTGGCGTCCCTGCCCAGATCAGGGCAGGGTCCTGTTTCATGGGGTGAGGACACCCACATCCATTCTGCTGCTTCTCTCACCATCTCCTCGTGACCTGGTGTCCAGGGCTTTTCTTGGCAGGGAAAGCTGCAGCAAGCTGCCCCCACGTAAAACTAAGCTGTTGTCTTTGATTGCAGTGAAGATAACACATGGGAGCCAGAGGAGAA